AGGTTGCAGGACGTTGAAGCCCTAGTCACAAGGTTCGATCGTATACCCGCCTCCCCTCTGAAAGGAAAATTAGAATAATGTAAGTATCACAACTTGTTTACGCGACGCTGTACTATTTGCCCCCTGTCTCTTCTACGATCATCTGACTCATCCAAATAGTCCGACCTCAACTTAGCCATCAGTTTCATAGACACATACGTACCCGAGACCCTTTAACAATCAGCAAAGCTTACAATAGATCTATGAGAGCAAATTATCAACGCACATTTAAAAGAAAAAAATAAGCACTGAACTACCCATCTACGCAAACCAAAATAAAAGTTTACAGATTGACCTGGGGAGGACCCAGACGCGGCAACGTTGGCAATACACACCATTTCACAAATTCAAAAATCCGCTCACGCGTATAATCATGGGTATGAAATCCATTCACGTAACACAAAAGCATCTGCAAATACCATCAGGTGCATATGGGCCACTTCATACAAAAATAGACAATAACGACAACTCACCCACACAAAAATGCATCCATCCACGCCAATATTCGTGTATATTACGTTGACACCTACCCCATTTCACTAACACAAAAGTACAGTCATGTAAAAGGCATGATATGCTTCACCCCACGAGTGCAAAACAATAATTAAACACAAAACCATAGGTATGCATTTCATTTCATTAGTCCGAAAGCAACGTAACATAAAAGGATATAGGTATGCACCTCAATAGGTTGACATCAACTTAAACCCTTCTATAAGGGGTCATCACCATTCTCCCATCCGTAGCATATGTACTTCTTCCGCTCCATTAAGGCTTGTCACGTAAAAGTGGAAAATCAGGATACATGTCCTTTAAGATCGGGTCCGCTTTCCGCTGCCACCAATGCAGCGGAAAGAAAGAAGACACAATACTCTGGCAGAATATATTTATTCACCGCAGAGAAGGAGTCTAGGCTATTGGCATGGCCCAAAAGGCTAGCCCACCCAGCGAGGTACGAGGGGGCTAATTCAAAGTAAAAAAGTGGCGCCTCACCAATACCGAGGGATAAACCACTATCGTATTACAAGAACTTAGAAAACATACCCACAAATGGATACATAGGCGCACACTCCATTATGAAGGTATATCTCCACATAAAGGAGAGGCACACAATCAACTTCAACGTAAGAATACCTCCACACATAACAGCAGGGGTACATGCTCGACTTTGTAAATGCAAAATTCCATCCACTCTTACTAGCATAGGTGGGTACTTATTTCTATTAGTGAAAATATGCGCCCACAAATGACAACATGCGTGCATTCCCTGCACCATTCCACCTATGCAAATATGTGTCCATACATACCACTGATATATAACCCACCTTTCTAACACAAAAAATTATCCACATCTGCATATCTACAGAGGCAAATGATCCATTTAAACAATGTGAATACATCCACGCGCACCAACACGAATGTATACATATTCACTGATACCGAAAACATTCACACACAGCATCCCAGGTGCATACCCCTCTTATCGATACTAGGAGATATTCGCCTACACACACTTGCGAAAAAGCTCCATTTCACTAATACGGCCATCTACTTATAAATATAAACATGAATCCGATTGTTGCCATGCTTGCCCAGTTTATGACGCACCATCTAATCTTTATCAGCCTCATTTCTTCAACACTCGTCCAATGCATGCCAAATCTTTTCCTTTAATTCCTTATCCATCATGTTTGTGGACGGATACTTACCTTAAACGACCTTAACAACTAACACAACTTACAACAAGACTTTGAAAGCAACTGCCCAATGTACACGTGGGTGAGCAACAGACACTAAGCCACCCCCTTTAACAAGCTGAAAGTAAAATTAGCTAGAATCTATGAAAGAGCTATTATTTGACTCACAGCACCTTAGTCGAGAATTACTACCTTTATTATTGTTGCCGACAGAATTGCTCGATACGCAGCTCAAAGGATTGGCTGGGTCTTCACCAAGATTGAAACTCATAATGACAAACGATTCGCAAACCATTTTAATCACACAACCACAAAAGCTAGAATCATTAGAGCATGTTGTCAACAATGCGCTGTACTCCTTTGGCATCCGTCACAACCCCAGTGCATGATTTGTGTGTTTGCATTTCAGGTCGAACTTCACTGTGATTTGGCCTTTCAGTCCTTCCGGAAGTATTACACACTAAACAACAAAAAGGGTTCATACAGCTGGACGGTGTGGGCAATTTTACAATTGTCGCCTTTCTTTGCTGGAAATAAATTTTACAGTCTCACCTTCCTCAATCACAATGCCACAGCCTGAATTGCGAACACGGAACACGACTTGAGAATATAGTGGAACAACAGCCGTGGCGATTTCAGGAAGGTTGTATCTATGTAGTAATGCACATTTGCAACAATCTCTTTACTGGTAATCCCGAAACATAAAGGATAAAAATGTACCCAAAATCAAAAGACATAATTCACCCTAAATCGAGAACAGCTTGTAACCACTTTATCACTGTCAATCCAATCAACAACTTTTGAGAGCCACGATTCGATGCAACCAGTTATCGCGACTGTGGCAGTAGTAGCGCACTTCTGAGGGGATGACATCTTCGCAAGCCTCCTACTCCGGACCGGGCACAGCTCTCAAAACGTACATTGATTCTGAATCTGCCACACCAAATGGAAAAAGAGCCACGTTGGGTAGTCCTTGTAATTTGTCTACGCGGAAGAAACCGCTTTCTTTCCAACAGTAATTATCATTATTTGAAAAGGAAATATGAGCTTAACATCGACACGTCCTCCCAATTTTCCCTATTGAAGACGACAACAAAGGGAGCTGCGAAGAGATATCTGGACGAATCAAAAAGAAACGAAGAGCATGCAAAAGAAAAGCTACATCACAGATGCCTGATATGTCATGCACGAAGGCTAAAATAAGGGGGTTGTGCATGAAGGCAAATAAGGAAGAGGGAAGGGAAAAGTTGGACGCCATCCTCGTGTACAATCGGAATTACATCACGCACAAGAGGCTACGGGATAACTCCACTAAAACTGTAAAAGGACCATTCTTTTAGGATTACTTTATTCCAACCGCAGGTTTGAATTGTTCAGAATTGATAATGTCATCAACATGCATCGGCGATTCAATAATTAAGCTGCGCCCAACTGCCATCTTTCGAATAAGTGTTCAATGCCATATTAACTAGCATTTCAATTGTCAAAACAACTGAAAAGAAGAATTTCTCCGATGTAAACTACCAAATGAGGCAAAGAAAACAGCAACTAATGCCTAAAACCACTATTTGTTCCAACAAAATGGTGTTGAATCGCAAACGGAGGCGCAGTTGTACGATTAGCGCCATCAGCATTTAAATTCGGGACCTTAGCAACACTGACGCTTTCCTCTTTTTCGCATCACTATGTTTCCATGCACACGCTGTCTGAATCAAGAGCGTGTCTTGTGTACAAGCGTTGGGTAAAAGCACTCAACTCGTCTCGGAGATTCCCGTCCACCATGCATTCGATATTGCCTGTTGCACGCAATCTAAACAATTCGTCTAGAAAAAGTTTCCGAAAAGGTTTGCACTAGTAAATAAGTAGGTTGCAGATTTTATTGGTTCCACCTAACCCCTAGCAAAATGTAGCCGCTGGAGGGAACCAAGAGTTTGACCGCTTTAACAGCATAAGGAAGATCTTAACGACAGAATGCAATTTCATCGACAGAGTATGCGGAGAACGTTGGAAAGCTGTCGTAATGTCTGCCATTTCTGTCCTGTGACCACTTTTGCCTGGTGATTTACGTATTCGTTAGGCTGAATGACAGTTGCCATCCTGGGGTGCGGTTGACTCCAAAACCTTTGAACTGCACCAAAGAGAGCCAACACCCTGCCACACACTACGTGTTGCTGACACGTTGGCCGCAGCTACAAATTCACCTATGTTGGGATGTATACTCGGTTTGAAAATAAGCTCATCCACAGCAGAGGCATCTGTGAGTGGACTAAAAAGCAAACAATGGCCGTATTGGTGTGAGTAGTGCAGGGCGCTCCGAACGTCAAATCAAATACAGCCACGACCATGGAAAAGTAAGAAATGATCCTGTAGCTGATCGCCACCAACTATAGGATAATAATTAAAGAGAATGCAAGAGAGCTAAATGTATGTTGGATTCATCTATTTCCTCATTATTACAAATCCATACTTCAGTTACATACTGCAGGCAGGAGACTAGACAAGGGAAGATGGATGAAGGCACTTGTCTGGAACAAATTGTCACAACAACCCTGGATGAACAGCTCATTTAACAATGATAAAACGACTTTTCATTTCTCTCTAGCAGTAGTTAGGCGTTGTTATGCACTTAACCATTGATGATTACCTCAAAAAGCAGCCTTTGCAAGCGAGTGAATTCCCCTTCACTTTGCATGAGGCATTCTACTGAAGTAACAGCTGGCTTTCCTCCATCAATGGCATGGGCCGATTCCTGGGAAAATGCCCACTTGTCATTTCTTAAAACAACTGCCAATAATGCAGTCGGCAATCATTTGGGGCAAACTTGTAAATTTAACAATTATCCTTCTTCAATTGAAGTTACTTGGGTTCAAAAAGCGTTTGCAACTTCTCGTTGATGACCAACAGTTTATCCACCACCACCTTGTTAA